CATCTCCACCTACCCACCCGTCGTTGAGTGTATGCTGGTGGCCAGTATGAGCTCGGTGAAGCCCCCCTTGAAGGACATCATCCAGAAGTTGAAAGTGCACCCCGACGATGTATTTTTGTTTGTGGAGATACCGTTTTTGCCGAGTCGTTTGCCTAAGCCCAAGATTCCAGGAAGGACCGGAACCCCGTGCGACCGGATCATAAGTGTGGGCTTCCTATACAATGCGACGGGGACCTGCAGCACGGTGCCCCTTGTGGTTTTGCGCCATGACGAGCGCCCAGAAACTAGGCACAGCGGGGAGCCCGCACCGGCGGTGATTGTGCGCTACACGAAGAGTGGGCGGCTCACACCCGAGGTATGTTGGATGATTTTGAGAGTGGACGGTTCCACTGATTTCCCGAATGCAGTAGTGGCATGTTGGTGGTGTTGTTGTACGAAACCTTAACTCGGTGCATGAGCTGTCGTGGCTCCGCGTTGCGCAGGTGTTCACCGAGTTCTTTCAGACGGTCGATGGTGTGCAGCTAAGACGGCTGTGTTCACCTACAACACCGCGCACCGCATTACCGCAAATGACGCGAAGACGACGGTGGAGCACGGTCTGGCGGTGGTGCATTTCACACACACACGCTTTGTGGACCTCACAGACATTGTGCAGTGGTCCAACATGTCGTTTTTGCACGGCGTGGTGGACGCTTTCAAGGCAGAGTATCGTGTTATCTTGATGTGACGAGCGGTGCGATCGAATCTCTTCCACGAGGATTTCGATGTGCCCTTTTCCGTGGTGAATTACGCGGTCATGCTGCTGTGGATGGGCTTGGCCTGGAAGGCGCTGACGACGGCAACGATGCAAAGGAGCTAGTGGAGGGCGGGATGCGTCCCGGAGTCATGGTGGCCGCTGATGTGGCACCTGCACGGCATGTATTCGGCAGGCATGTACGAGCCGCTTGTCTCTACCACGGCGGACCTCCTGGTGCTGCTACGTGAGTTCCGTGTGCGTCCAGCGTTGTATATGCCGGCGTCCGACTACATGACCTGCGATGAGTGGTTAATGGAGCAGGCAGGAGTGAAGTTGGGCAGGGAAACGCCAGCAGTCAGTAGAAGTTGGGCCAACTACTGATGAGACTGCCTGCTCGCCCAACCACACCGGCCTTCACCGAGTCATAGTACCGATTCACGCCATCGATCGGGCTTGGATGAATAAGGAGGGTACAGCGACGGATTGCCCAGTACTGATCTACGGGAAAATACAGGGAGCAGCAGTGAAGATTTTTATTGACGGGGGAGCAAGTCTCAGTTTAGTTAATACCGCGACCGCACGGAAACTGCAGTTAACACTTAACCATTGTTTACCTGAGATAGACGCACGCTTAGTCGACGGCACGCCACTGGCCATACGGGAAAAGGTGGAGCGAGTAAAAGTCCGTTGCGGAGGAAACTTCGGGTTTACACAGGAAATGCTCGCAACGACACTGGATGGGCACGACATTTTATTGGGACGTGATTGGCTGCGACGGTATACCCCGCGAATTGACTGGACGACGGGTAGCTGCACTGTGCGAAGTAGTGGTAACTGGGTCGAACTACCTCGCTGGCGACCACCCCAGTCTTCAAAGGTCCACGTCAACGCCATCACGATGAAACAGGTTGTTGCCACGGGAGCTGACGTGTACGCAGTGGATATAGCTTTAGTAGGAGAAGAGGAGCAGCCGAGCGATTTTCAGAAACTGTTGGCAGCGGTACCGCCCGTACTTCAGGATCTATTGAAACGGTACCCGGGGATTTTTCCAGACGATTTACCGCAAGGACTGCCACCTCAGCGGGCGCATTGACCATAGGATCGAGTTAGAACCGGAGGCACAGCCAACTGTACAGCGCCAGTTCAGACTGACACAGCCCGAGCTCGACGAACTAAGGAAGCAGTTAGATTATTTGTTAGAGAAGCAGTTTATCCGATCGAGCTCGTCACCGTTCGCCGCACCGATACTGTTCACACCGAAAAAGGACGGACGATTTCGCATGTGCATTGATTACCGAGCGCTCAACAGAGTAACAGTCAAATCGCGATACCCCATCCCCCGCGCCGACGAACTGATCGACCAGCTGCAAACAGCACGGGTATTTTTGAAAACAGACTTACGGAGGGGTTACCATCAAATTCGGGTCGAACCATCGGACTGCGCCAAGACAGCATTTAGGACTAGGTACGGGTCATTCGAGTACACGGTGATGCCTTTCGGGTCGACCAACGCGCCCGCAACATTTCAGATGACCATGAACGAGGCGTTTAGGCCACTTTTAGATAAATGCGTGATAGTTTACCTCGATGACATCCTCGTTTACACTCGCGACCAGCAGCAACACTTAGTCGATCTCGAAGCAGTATTTAAAATTTTAGAGGAACATCGGTTACTCACCAAGAGATCCAAGTGCGAGTTTTTTCGGGATAGGTTAGAATTTTTAGGGCACGTTCTTTCGGAGGCTGGAGTTGAAATCGACCCCAAGAAGCTGGATACCGTAAAAGCGTGGCATCCCCCGACGAACATCACGGAGCTGCAGAGTTTTTTAGGGTTCGTTAATTACGTTCGTCGATTCGTCCCCGACATGGCACGCTTAACAGCCCCGCTAACAGATTTACTTCGCAAGGGGGTCGTTTTTACGTGGGGGGAGAACGAACATGCTGCCTTCTCTACCCTGAAACATGTTCTCTGTTCACCACCCGTCCTACGCATCGCTGACCCACATCGCCCCTTCGAAGTTTTTACAGACGCAAGCGACATCGCCATCGGAGCCGTACTGTTACAGGACTTCGGCAATGGCCTCCAGCCCATCGCCTACGAATCACGAAAACTGCATCCGCCTGAACGAAATTACCCGATACACGACCGTGAAATGCTCGCGATCGTGCATGCGTTCAAAGTGTGGCACTGCTACTTGACCGGCGCAGACGTGACAGTACGGACAGACCATCGATCCCTACGGTACCTCCGTGCACAGCCCCACCTCAACCCACGACAGATTCGGTGGCTCGATTTCCTCGAGTCAAATTTCCATTATACGGTCACATATAAAAAAGGAGCCTCGAATATCGCCGACGCACTAACCCGCCCCACTGCCCAGATCCATGCGATACTACTCGCCCAGACCAGCCCGCTACTGACAGGACTATTTACCCACGGATATCAAACAAATCCATTCTTCACAGGAGGCAACTCGCAGCAATTTGCAGCAGCCAAGGGAGTCTATTACGTAAAAACTGGAACCGACCGCATCTGGGTACCAGGGTACACACTACTACGGGAATTACTGTTACAGGAGGCACACGACGGAGTTACCTCGGGACATTTCGGAGTAGAGAAAACACGGCAGCAGCTGCAGCGGTATTATTACTGGCCCGAAATGTTGACCGACGTGCAGTGACACGTGGCATCGTGTCCCACTTGCCAGATCATAAAGTCAACCCGGAAGCGGCCGGCGGGACAATTGCAACCAATCCCACCTCCAGAGCGTGCTTGGCAGCAAGTGACGATGGACTTCGTCACGGGGTTACCGGCCGGGGCGAGTGGGAATGACGCGATCCTGGTCGTCGTCGATCGACTGACGAAAATGGCACACTTCGCAGCCTGCAAGAAATCAATCACAGCCGAAGAAACAGCCCGCCTCTTCATCTCTACTGTCGTTCGACTACACGGGATACCAATATCAATCATCAGCGACAGAGACACGAAGTTTACTAGCAACTTCTGGCGGAACCTGTGGCAGCAGTTCGGCACGCGCCTACAGTTCAGTTCATCGTATCACCCCGAAACCGACGGACAGACCGAACGGACAAACCAGACCATGGAACAGCTCATTAGGGCCACGTGCGACGATCCAAATACGTGGGAACAGCAACTGCCACTCATCGAATTCGCATACAACAGCGCCCCATCCGCCATGACCCAACAGTCACCATTTTACCTGAATTACGGACAAGACCCAACAGTACCCATGACACCGAATCCCGACAACCCCGTTCCACGCGCACAACAGTTCGCCGAGATTTTGCAAGCAGCACGGACCAGGGCAGCAAAAGCAATCTAAAAATCAAACATCATCGCTAAACGCAACGCTGACCGCCACCGCAGACCTGTCACTTACCAGCCCGATGACCTCGTTTTACTCGACACTCAAAACCTCCGCCTGCCGATCACCCCCAAACTCCGCCCTCGATACTGTGGGCCATTTCGAATTAGCCATATGATAACGCCTGTCACCGCGCACCTCCTCCTCCCTGCTGACTGGTACGTCAGCCCCTCGTTTCACGTCAGCCGGCTTCGCCCCTACGTACCCTCCACAAGCCAACTCCCACACAATCGACCAGCCAGCATGGCACGACCACCAACCGAACCACTCATCACCCCCGACAAAATCCTGAGCCACAGAGTTCGCGACCCTCGTGGAGCCAGAAAGATCGAGTTCCTGATCCGCTGGAAGGATCGTAAACCCACCGAGGACAACTGGGTTCCCCTGGACAGAATTGAAAACCACCCTGTCCTCACCGAGTATCTGCGTAGCCGAAACTTCAGGGACGTCTACGCACTGTCGTAAGAAGGACCTCCTTAGGAGGGGGGGTAGTGTAAGGAAAATCACTTTTCCTTACTTCGCATCCCTACTTAACGCGTACATCGCTGTAGCACCTCAGTCAGCACCGTTACCACTCGCGATCCTCGCATCGACAATCACCCCGCCATTTTCGCACATCGCACCCCGACCTCACGGCTCGGCTGGTAACCCGCGCTCCGAGCCTCCGCTTCGACACTTTCCCAACCTCAGTCCCAGGCTCGTCGCGCGACAACCACAGTCCATTACCGTTACCACTGTAGTTTCGCTATATAATCTTCGCTCATGCTTTCGCTCATTGTATTCTTGCATCGATAGTGCAATTCTCGTTCGTTCACTCATGTAAGGATTTACATAATCCTTACTGAGGCATTTGTTAGCAAGGCCATCCCCTGGGGTCACTAACTACCATGTTGAATCCCCTGAAGACGAGCCAGCTCCAAGCTGAAATCAACCTGCTCAGAGCTCTCGATCTCGAGGTCGATGCGGGCAGCCATGCGGTCCTCGTCCTCCCCAAAGAACTCCTCCTTGAGCAGCAGCAGCTCTGCCAGCACACGGCTCATGCCTGAGCGAGACGCCGTGGGCATGGCGGTGCAGGAGAGCGCCAGGCGTGCCATGCGCAGCACCAGGTTGTCCGGTGCTTGCAGGTGCGGGTCCTTGAGGGCCGCCACGTCCCCTACTACCACCAGCGATGCTGCCTGTTCGTGATGATTCGGGGGAGACGAGGGAGGGAGGAGAGGAAGGGAGATTGAAGATTTGTGGCCAAGAGGTAAGGAGATATCATATGGAAAGGAGGAATCATCTTGTGAAAAGGGGTAGAGGGCGCTGCTACGATGGTGGTGGTTGTTGTTTCCACACGCACCCACTGCTTGAGGTTGACTTGGTTGGACTCGATGTTGTAGATGGCCTTGCGAGCCGTGATCACCGCCAGCATCACCACTCCAAAGCTGCAGGCAGGACAGGAAGCATGGCAACAATGAACGGGCAGCAGGGAAGAGAAACATCAAACAGTCAGCAGGAAAAGGAAGGCAACTAGGATAATTAAACCATCTTGTGCCACCAAGCGCCAGACAGGCTGGTCTCGGTATGGGAGATGTCTGAAATGCCATGCATGATATTGCTAATGCATATGCCTGGCTGTATATGCATAACAGAGAGAAAAAGCCAATAACACATGCACACGTGAGTAACACATCATCCACACCTATGCACGTCGGCCTTGGGAGTGGCCTTGTGGGAGCAGTAGTAAGCGGGGTCCACATAGCCCGGCGTGCCCATGACTCGGGTAGCGGCCACAAATGTACCTTCCCCAAGTCGCACCAGCCCAAAGTCAGCGAGCTTGGCGTGCATGCGCGCGTCCAACAGGACGTTTGCGGGCTTGATGTCGCAATGCACGATGCTGAAGCCGTGCAGATACTCCAGCCCGCGCGCCATGCTCGTCAGGATGGCTAACCGCTGCTGCATTGTGAGCGGGTGGGGTGCGCCTGGGAGGAGAAGGTGTGGCAGTTGGGAGTTGGGCAGCTGGGTGTGTTCATGGATGGAACAAGAGCCTCGAATTGCAATGCATTCGAGCCCTTTAGGTTGATAGAATGGATTCCATGAATCGCAATGAGTTTTATGAGCGTTTAGAAAGTAAATGTAGAGAGTAAGGATGTAACAAGGGGTTAGACCATGCATACGTAGTACACAAAAACCACTATTTCGGCTGATGGATTTACCCAAGGGTTGACTAGACTAAGGCAGACACAACTGGATAATCAAGACGAGATACTCCTCCAAGCCTTTTATTTTTGTCGACTAAACATTTCGCAATATACCTTTTCGAGTCTGTACCATCTTACACTGTCCAATTCACTTGCCTTGGGCCAATCCTTAACAAACCTTGTACCCACTCACCTGGTTCAATCCATCTATCATGTGAAAAAACAACGATCAACCCCAGCTCACCGGGTCTGATCCAGCGGTCGAGGTCGCCATTGGCCATGAACTCATAGACCACGATCTGCTCCATGCGCTCCGCCTCGTAGCTCATGTCGAAGCAGCCACATGCATCATGGACGTACGAGCGACGCCCATGACCATGCCAATGCGGTGCTCAGCAATCCCATTTTGCTGTGTAGAGGCCGGAAGCGTGAAGGTCTGGCGGATGCCCTGTGCACGACAGAAGGCTCCGAGACGGGCAGAGGAAAACTCCCCGCCTCTGTCCGAGTGCAGACGCAGAACAGGAAAGTCCGAGCCGAAACTCTCTCTGAGCTGGAGACGAGCTGCGCGGATCCAGTCGATCAACACCTCAGTGACGTCACCCTTGCTGCGCAAGGGGAAGACTGTGGTGTAACGCGAGTAGTCGTCAACCACCAGAAGGAAGTACCGCTCGTGCCCCTGCCCACTAACGCGGGCGGGGCCCCAAACGTCCATGTGGAGAGTCTGCAGCGGAGCCTCAGTCGTAGGAAACTCGGAGGAGTGAGGGGTGGCGCGCTGTCGCCCCTCGACACAGAGGATGCAGGTAGGGCCAGGCCCCGGAGGTAGGGGAGGGAGAGACCGAGGGAGACCAGAGTCAAGGACACGGGAGGCCATGCCTCGGAGACGAGGCAAGGAGGGGTGACCAAGGCGGTGGTGCCAAAGGAGAGTCTGGTGGGACAGGAGACGACACGAGCAGGGAGCAGATTCAGGACCAGACCTGGACGCTGCAGCAAACACCTGACTTGAAGCAGCTACCTGGCCAGACTCAGCAGCCGGAGGAGACTCAGTAGTAAGGGTGTACAGGCTCGACCCTGGCCGACGGGTGAACGTGGCCAAGTGTCGGCCTGTTCGAGCACACGTGCAGTGGGTCACCCGCTGACTCGCAGGAGTGAACTGGTCAACCCCCCTATCCTGTAGGTCTGCTCCACTCACCAAGTTCGTAGAGAACAAGGGGAGGTAGAGACCTGATAGGGTGCCAGAGGGGGCTGCCGGGCACGGTAAGACAGTGGAGAAGCTAGCAAGGACAGGACCCCCAGAGGGGTCTGCCAGGGAGACTGCAACCGGCCGATTGAGCGGCGTAAGAGTGGTGCGGTCTTGAAAGAAGGAGCGCGACGCACCCGACTCAAGGGTGAAGGTGTGTAAGGTCTAAGCCGACGTAGTACCTGAGAGAGCAGACTCACCAGCACCTGGGGCAGTAGACGCACTAGCACCTGGGGCAGCACACGCACTAGCACCTAGAGCAGCAGCCTCAATGCCTGGGTCAGGCGATACACACAAGTAACAGTCACCCGCACTATCATGAACAGCATACATGGCAGCAAGAATAGCATCAAAATCAAGATCAAAGATAGCAACCCCCGCCCTAGACAGCTCTCCCCAGCGAGGGATCTCAGAGGCCCCAGGGAACTGGTGACGCCACGCGTCCGTCAGGCGGCCGAAGCAGCGCTGGGTGGAGTGCGGGCCCCCGCACTGCTCACCAGCGTGGTCGCCGGTGCGGAGAACGTATGTGCAGGGACCCGTACCCCCACCGCGCTGACGCGCAACGTACCACTCACGAAGCTGCTGAGGGGACAGGGTCTCACGACTGCTCTGCTGCTGCTGGCGCGTACCACCATCGGAGCCACTCCTCTGCGCAGAGGCGCGACCAGGTCCACTGCTGCCACCGCCGCCTTCGCCACCTCCCTCGCCTCCGCCGCCTCCGCTCCCTCCGCCACCGCCGCCGCCTCCTCCGCCTCCACAGCTGCCACCAACACCTCCACCCCCACTACCACTCTGAGCGACGCCTGGCGTACTGAGTTTGGCAACGAGGCTGAGTTCCCGGACTGGGTGGAGCTGCTTGGGCAGAGGGTAGATATATTTTCTCTTGACTATGATGCTATTCTCACTGCCATGTATGCATTGCCTACTAGTGCTGACCGTGCCTGTTACCTGTGCGTACCGCTTGACCCAGGTATAGAGCCTGCTGCTCTCGGTGCTGGTGAGGCTGTTGCTCTAGGTGCTAGTGCGTCTCATGCTCTAGGTGCTGGTGAGGCTGCTGCTCCAGGTGCTGGTGAGTCTGCTCTCTTTGGTACTGCGCCTGCTGAGGCCTTGTACACCTTCACACTTGACTCAGGTGCTTCGCGCTCCTTATTTCGCAACAGCACCACCCTCACGCCGCTCAGCCGGCCGGTTCCTGTCTCCCTGGCAGATCCCTCTGGGGGTCCAGTCCTTGCGCACTCCTCCACGGTCCCGCCATGTCCGGCGGTCCCGTCTGGCTCCCTGTCAGGTCTTCACCTCCCCTTGTTCTCTACAAACTTGGTGAGTGGTGCTGACCTCTAGGACCAGTGGGTTGACCAGTTTACTCTTGGAGGGCAGCGCGTGACCCACAGTACGTGCTCTTGGACGGGCCGGCACCTGGCCACGTTTACTCGTGCGCCTGGCTCGAGTTTGTGCACACTGACTACTGTGTCCCCTCAGGTCGCTGCGTCTGCGCCTGCGTCAGGTCAGCTAGCGGCCCTTTGCTTGTGTCGTGCTTTGTCACCACCGCCTTGGTCACCCCTCGGTGCAGCGCCTTCGTAGCATGCACCGCCATGTCCTTGTCTCTGGTCTTCCCAGTGTTCTCCCTCCCCTCCCACCCTTGCCTGCTCCTCCCTGTCTTCTCTGTATGAAGGGGCGGCAGCGCGCCGCTCCTCACTCCTCCTTGTTCCCTCCCATAGAGGCTCCCCTGCAGACTCTCCACCTGAACGTGTGGGGCCCAGCCCGCGTCCGTGGACAGGGCCACGAGCGGTACTTCTTGCTGGTCGTCAACGACTACACGCGTTACACCATGGTCTTCCCCTTGCGCACTAAGGGTGAGGTCCCTAATGTTTTGATCCCTTGGATCCGCACTGCTTGTCTCCAGCTCCCTGAGCCATTCAGGACGGAGTTTCCCGTCCTACGTCTGACTCTGACAGAGGTGGGGATTTTTCCTCCGACTTCTTGGCAGCCTTCTGTGCGGAGCACGGCATCTGCCAGACGTTAACACTTCCGGCCTCTCCGCAGTAAAATGGGGTTGCTGAGCGTCGCATTCGCTTAGTCATGGAGGTCGCTCGTACCTCCATGATCCATGCGGCTGCCCCGCATTTTCTGTGGTCGTTTGCGGTCCGGTACGCTGCGCATCAGCTCAACCTCTGGCCGCGTGTCTCCTTGCCGGAGACCTCGCCCACACTGCTGTGGACGGGGAAGGTTGGCGATGCGTCGCGTTTCCGGGTCTGGGGTGCTCGTGCCTCCTTTGTCCGCGATACCACCGCGGACAAGCTCTCTGCCCACGCTGTTCCCTGTGTCTTCCTTGGCTTTGTCCCTGACACGCCTGGTTGGCAGTTTTACCACCCCACCTCGCGCCATGTCTTCCCCTCTCAGGACGTCACGTTCGACGAGTCAGTTCCCTTTTACTGTCTCTTCCTCTACCGCACTACTCCTCTCCCCCCCCCCCGCTGCTCTTCCTCGCTCCAGGTGCTTCCCAGGTAGACCCCCTCCCCGCTCCTGGTCCTACTCCTTTACGTGTGTCTCAGGTAGACCCTCCTCCCTTGACTGCACCGATTGAGGTCACTAGTGACTCAAATCCTGCTAAGGGTGGTCCTCCTCGGGGTGCTAAGCCTGGGGGTGCGGAGCCTGGGGGTGCTGAGCCTGGGAGTGCGGAGCCTGGAGATGCGGAGCCTGGGGGTGCGGAGATTGGAGGTGCTGAGCCTGGGCGTGAGGAGTATGGGGGTGCTGAGCCTGGGGGTACTAAGCGTGGGGGTACTGAGTCTGGGGGTGCTGCACGTGGGGGCGCTGAGGCGTCTGGTGAGTAGTCTCCCTGGAGCGGCCGTCTCCGTAGTCGCTCCGCTGGTACCTCGCCGCTGCACTCTCGTCGTCGACTCCCTCTCTCCCCACAGCAGCTGCGTGTGTGGTACGTTGGCCATCCGGGTCGCACTGCTGGGTGCCCTGCTGCGTGAGTTGCTGGAGCTGGTGACTCTGCTACTGGAGTTGTTTCTGCTGGAGGTTCTGGAGCTGCTGCGGGTGCTGGCACTGAGGGTTCTGAGTCTGCTGTTGCGCGGTCTCCTTGGAGTAGCGGCCTTTGTCCCCGTGTGCCTCTCAACTCACAGTAGCTGCACGACTGGTACAGTCGCCGTAAGGGTCGCGCTTCTGGAGCTCGGGGCTCTGCCGCTGGAGGTACTTCTGCTGACATCATTGGAGCTGGGAGTGGTGCTGGTCCCGGAGGTGCTCGTAATGGAGGTACAGGAGCTGGTGGGGCTGGAGGTGCTGAGCCTGAGGGTGCTGCTGCTGGAGACACTGAGGCTGGAGACCCTGGGACTGGAGGTGCCGGTTCTGGGAGTGTTGCTGTCGAGAGTAAAGGGAAGGATGAATTAACTATGGAGAGTTTGGTACAAAAATATAACCTAAGGGGTTGTACCCCAAAGTGAGTACCCCACTAAAGCCTACCCAAACTATAACATATAACAATATGTTTGACACACCCCCATAGGCAAAGTGGGGGAGAACAGAGGGTCACAAGACCAGTCGGGAAGTGCAAAGCAAGCTCAGGGTGGATCGCAACGTCACCACGCATTTTGCGAACATGCAACAGGCCACAAGGCCAGTTCGCATGCGGAGATATATATGTAACAACAATAGCACAGTGTTCTCTACCTACAAGAGCAAGCATGCAAGCATATATATAGATCCCTGCCTCCACCACCACCTCCACCGCCCCCGCCAGCCCCTCCAGCGCCCTTGCCCCCCTTGCCCTTGCCGGTGCGGCATCTCCCGCTCGGGACAGACGCAGCGCCGACCGACTCGAAACCAACGAGGTCGGCCGCAGCAGCAGAGGCGACAGAGGGCAAGAGGGGGGAGGGGGAACACCCCTCAAAGACTTGGGTGCGAGGGTCACCACGAGAGGCTCCTATAGCGACAATGCTATTCTCTGCTGCTAGGAGGCCCTTCTTGAGGAGGTCAACGGTGAGAGTGGTGGGGCAAACTGAGAGGAAGTGGTCCCTGACTACGCGGAGAGAGTCAGGGAGCCGGGTGACTATGTAGTAGAGGGTGATGTACATG